AGAAGATGGTAAATTTGTACAAGACAATAATAATTATGAATTTTTAGAATCAGAAAATGATGTTTGGAATGCTAAGAAACGGAAAATTACTAATGTGGAAAAGGGTGAAAGTTTAAATGATGTGCCCACTTTACAACAGACTTTAATACGAAAAGAAGATGGTAAATTTATACAAGATGATAATAATTATGAATTTTTAGAATCAGAGAATGGTGTTTGGAATGCTAAGAAACAGAAACTTAGCAATTTGATAGAAGGTACAGATAGTAAGGATGCTGTGAATGTTTCACAAGTTCCAAAAATGGAAGCAGGCTATTGGGATTTTAATAATAAAAGGTTAGTACGTGTAAAACCCGCCGTTGATGACACTGACTGTGTTACAAAAGAACAGACTATAACTTTTGATAAAAAAGAAAAATGTTGGGATGCCAAAAAACAATTTATAAGGAATCTGCCAAAGGGGGAATATTTAGATGATATTTGTTTAATGTCACAAGCTATGTATTATGATGGATCAAAATTTGTATATGCAGGAAGAAAATTTAATTTGATGGAATACAATCCTGATTTATTAGTTGCCGACCCTACATCTTTGAGTGGATTTAAGTATATAGATAATAGACCATATATACCAGAAAACTATGTATTTAAAAGAATGGAAGATAATCTATTGATTGGGGCTAATGGTAATATATTTACAGTACAAAGAAAGAGTGATGTTATAAAAAATGAATGAAATTGCATACGAACTTCATAAGCCTGCAAGAAAGAATTTCATTAGAAGGTCTTTTAAAGTATTAGGTATAAACGAAACTGTACAAATAGATTTAATTGATATGCAAAACTATGCTAGAGAGAATTCTGGCAATAAATATATTTTAACTTTAATAGATACATTTTCTAAAAAAGCTTATGCTGCTCCACTAAAGAATAAGACGGGTTTGGTGGTTACAGAAGCCATTAAAACCATTCTACCAATGGGGGTTAAAAACATTCAATCTGACAATGGAAAAGAATTTTTTAATCAATATTTTAGCAAACTAATGAAACAATTAAATATTAATCACTATCACACTTTTTCTACAACTAAGGCTGCAATTGTGGAGAGGTTTCAGAGAACTTTAAAGAATTGGTTATATAGGGAATTTAGTGCTCAGGGAAGTTATAAATGGTTGGATTTACTTCCAAAGTTAATTCGAAAATATAATAATAAGGTGCATAGATCTATAGGTATGAAGCCTAACCAAGTAAATATTAAGAATAGTAAATATGTGCATGAGAGGTTGACTTCTAAAGTAGTGCAAGTTAAAAAACCAAGATTTAAGGTAGGTGATAGTGTGAGGATTTCCAAGTATAAACATGTTTTTAGTAAAGGTTACACTCCGAATTGGACAGGGGAACTATTTACAATAGCAGAAGTTAAGAATACAAAGCCTGTGACTTATATCTTGAAAGATGAAAATGGCAATATAATCAGGGGAGGCTTCTATACAGAGGAGTTGTTAAAGACCAAGTATAAAGACATGTATTTGATAGAAAAGGTAATTAGGAGGAAGGGTGATTTATTGTATGTCAAATGGCTTGGATTCCCAAGTAGCCAGAACTCATGGATTTCCACTAAGGATGTCCAAGGGAGCACGCCGTGAGCCGTGAGCACGCCCGAGTTCACGTACAAACCTCGCTCGATTTTGAGAATATACATGTGAATGGGTGTTGGACATGGATTTGAAATTATACAATATAGATATGGAGTTGTACATTTATATAGGCTTGTATAGGCCCCAAGAGCAAGTTTAAGAGGTATATCACAAAATACAAAGAAATGAAATTATTAAACAACTCATACAACTAATATATATAGATAAGACAGAAATATAGACAACAATATATCAACATATCAACTAGAAAGGGGAATGGTAGATGTACTAGCAATTAGGCATGGGCGGAGAGTTGGCCCAAAAACCTCGCGCCCCAAAAAACGGCAGCGACAAACTATACTACTATACACCGCTGGAGATGAGAAGCATGGGCCGGGAGCGCGCTTGAGTTCTGCTGCAAATCTCACATGATTTGAAAATATATGTTGATTTGTAATGTTAATGAAGTTGTACAGTAGTATAGGGGATGTATAGGCAAAGATCAGGATTTTTGGTTTTGGTGGCCAAAAAATGATCCCCATGTTATTCTTATGGGGAAAAACGCCCCAAGTGCCTTAATATTCTTCTATTGCCACTACTATTTTGCTCAAAATATGTTCATAAACAAGCAAACTACAACAGTTTATTATTCTCCATAAGAATAACATGGTGATTTTAAATTCACAAATTTTTGTATTTTCTTGAGTTTTTTCTAATATGGTTTGGTAAGTTTCCAATTTCTTGCGGGGTTGTATTGAAGACTAGCTGAGAACTACGGATATGCTAGGGCAAGTGGTTTTGTGAAGGCTGAGGTGAATGCTATTTCATGTAACTAGCTATTTCTTACAAAGACTGGGAAATTTAAAGTTATTTTTAGTCAAACTAACGATTGGATCAATGTTTTTGAATTTGTTTGAATAATTAACTTGTTTACAGTACTGTTAAAATAGGCTTTAAATATGGTTGATTTCGATGATAATTTGTTGTTTCGTAAATATATTACTTGAGCATCATTGCTATTGCCTCAAAAAACTGTTCTATAATTTAAAACTATATATTGTACACATTTGGGTAGAATAGTCTCGCTAAATGAAACTTAATGTCGTCTAAGTCATTAATGGACTTTCTAAAATTAGTAATCAGTGTAATTTTTCCTAAAAACAGTAAATAATTTAGCGAACAGAATGTCGAAGGATGCATTCTGCCTTTAAACCCGAGGAAATACTTAAACTGAAATAGCTATAATAACCTGATATACTAAACTTTAATTATTGTAAGTATATTTCTTCTGACGTGTAGCTAAACCATGAATAGTTTAAATGAACAAGACCAAAAAGTAACTAAATACACTTCATATATGTTCAAATAATCCATTATACTATATCAGTTTTCGGAACAACGAATCAGTCACAAGGTAATTTCCCATTTTTGTTCTTGAGAATTATTGTGATTTTTGTACAATTAACTTTTTATGGAGTAAATGATTTTCGTTTTGAAATAAATATAATTATTCCAGTTGTTAAACTTGTAAAAATATTTCAATTCATTCGTAGTTTCTCTGATCCTCCAAATTCTTGTGGGTAGATAAAAAATTTAACAAATTTGAACAATTTTATTACAAAAAATATATAATTAAAATACAGTGAAAATACATACAATACATTCACATCACGTATATCTAACCTACATACAATACAATACAATTTACAGATTAAAAAGATCTAAGCTAGCACATTATTATAGCACCATTTAAGAGTATTTACAAACAATTTTAGCCGCCTAAAAAGGCGTCTGTAGTTAAATTTTGAGGGAAGTATTGCTTGGTTGCATCGGATTAAGATATTTACATTTCTGTGTTCTGCTATGTACGCATGAACAAACATTTTTTTGTTATTAATGTTGTAAATAAAAATTCGAGGAACTGTTGATAGCATTGTATCCAATTTACAAAGAACTTAGAAGCTTACATGGATTGAACATCTTCAAGTACTGTAATCAATATTTCTGTAAATAATAATTGTTTGCAATATTATGTGACATACGTCTGTAGTAAGCAGTACAGTGCCGTAACAACGAGACTGAATGTATAGTGTTGTCGTTTTGGTTTTATTTAATTCTTCGGAAAAATATTTTGGTGAAGAAATATATCTATTCAGCATTGCCTCCAGGATTGATTTATGATAAATTAAATATGTTTACGTCGTCATTCCTGTGGAAGCTTTGAGCATCGTTGAATTTGTCCGAGACTACAGTAGGGATTGACGACGTAAGGTGCGTAAACCTATTTAATTAATTTGTTAGAAATATATATTTTTTTACGCAAGGCAGAACATTGTTCAATGCCTTTGTCACTGTATGAAGACAATGGTTGTATTTATCCATTGTGTCTATCTACGTCAGTTGCATTTATAACGGTTTTTGTAAGGTTCAAAATCCTGGCCTTGTTTCTGATATTGTTGCAATCATATAAGATTTTACTAAAACACGATAAACCATGGCACAATCTCTCTACCCTTAACTGTAACATAATATTCCGATCAGCCGGTATTAAGAAATGTATAAAATGCTAGTTAATTTATATTAGAAGCTTCAGTTTCAGGTTGGGTTCAAAAGTAGAAACACTACAACTAATAGAAGTTAAAAGATGAAAGTTTTTAACTTCTCTAGTTATGCGTTACACTTTAGTCGCTGTTCTACATTTATTACTTGCAGTTATCACTGCACGTATTTTAAATGTAGTTGAACGTGAAGCTGTGCTTCACATCAGTTGTGCATAGCTTTAGAGTTGAAGCTATGTACACAGTTCAGACCAGTTTTGCCACTTTCATAGTTCCCCTATATTAGATGCAGATTGTGTTGCATCTGAAGGTACAATGTAGCAGTTTGAGTTGTTCAGTATCTGCTTCGGATTCGTCTAGATTTGGAGTTACAACTCCGTTTAAAATCCAGACTGTATGCCAGTTTGTAGTAGGACATGCTGCTGATTCAATTGATGTTCCACCTATTGCTTAAAATGTTACAGTTTAGTTACCTACTCTAGCTATACAGTCTTAGCTTCAAGTTTGAGTAGCTTGAGTTAAAGCTATACTCACAGGTCACACTGTAGCTATGAGTATAGATACTTCAGCCGTTTATATTTAAACTGAAGCTACATATTACAGTTGAATTAGGTTACGACTAGTTACAATACCTAATTCGGAACACAGTTCAGACTGTAACTACTATTGTAGTTACACCTGTAGTAGTTGCATGTTGTGTTCTAGATAGAACAACTGTCAACAGAAAACGTATGGTAGTATGTTTTCTGTGCTTAGGTTCAGAATAACTGTAACAGTGGTGGATTATAGTGTAACTTTGGCTATGTTCACACATCGTACTTTGGCTGTGGTTAAGAGTTACTCTGCTTCAGCTGGAGCTACAATGTTAGACTAGTTACTCCCACAATCGAAGCCACCCTGATCAAAATCTCAGATGTACATTCGCGTAACTAGAGTTGAGGTATTGTTGAAAGATCAAACAGTAGCTGCGTTTGTAGTTTCAACTGTAGTAGCAGCTGTTTCAGTTACAACTGGAGCTACAGCTGATTCTCTCCATGAAGTAATGGCGGGCCCTCGCTGTAGGAGCCGTTGGTTCGACTATGTCCCAGGACCGTCATAGTCGTAGCCTCACTGACACTCATCTGCCGTTTACGTTTGAAGAACTTGCTCGGCTCAAATAACCTGTGAAATGAGAAACGTTTACAGTGGTGTTCTACAGAATACCTGCAAACCTTGAAAATAAATCGAAATTGTGATTAAAGAGAAGTTGAACCTTTTTAACAGTAAAAGACTGTTCGTTTAAGGTGTAATTTAATCTTAAGCAAAGTGATAAACATGTAACGAAAACAGGCCATTTCACAGTAGTGTAGCGAAAAAGTAGTTTGACGTATTAATCTGAAGATGGGCTAAGCTCATCACGTAACAGTGTGTAATAATATTCAACGTATTACTTTGACAGCAGCACTGTATACCTTCAACTATTAAATTTAACCTCGTTAAATGAAATTTAAGAAGTCTTAAACCAACTTAACGTTGTACAACATTGAGCAGGAATACACGAATATGGTACCTATTTTTAAAGCGACTGTTTCAATGTAAATAGCTCCTCTCAATATTACAGAACTATATAAAACTTATGCAACACAGACAGTAGACAGTAGACCCAATACTGCTGTGGCAGATTTCAATCACGTGACAAACCTTATGTTCTCCTGCTGCGTGGACGGAGACCACTCTTTGCTGGTGGAGTAGCGAGGCCCCATATTCAGATCTCGAGCCTCCTTCCACTGGGCCAGGTGGTGCCTCAATGTGTTCTGTACCTCACTGTTGAGAAAACAGTAGAGGAGTGCCACCAGGAACCCCTGCAACATAACAAGTATACTGTAGACACCAAAATGTAAGGTATTTTTCTGTTTGGTGAATGTAGAGTTCGGTAAGCATAACCTCCTTCCACTGGGCTAGGTGGTGCCTCAACGTGTTCTGTACCTCACTCTTGTGTGTACAGTGATGGCACACAAGGAACCCCTGCAAGATATCAAGTATACTGTAGACTCAAAAATTTAAGGTATTTTTCTGATTGGAAACAATAGTGAAAGAGTAACCACTAACCATAAACCTATATCAACACCACCAAGAACCCAGAACAACTAGTATATAGTAGTAAGCCTGATAATGAGATTTTTAATTGCTAGAACCTCATTAATACTGCAAAGTTAAATTAATTTTTAATTTTGTGTAGTTTTGATGTAAATAGATCCAATAGAGAGTAGGCTCTACTGATTTGGTAGACATATCCAAATTTGCTTCATAGTGCAGCTCCTTTGTCTGCTTGCAGCTTCAAAGGAGACCCAAATCCCCTATCATGGTGTTATCACCAGACAAGCAACGCTTGGATAAATATTGGGTATTTTTGAAATGTTAATCACCTATCAATTGAAAACGTTGTTTTAAGTGCGGTGATTTAGACCCTTTATATCTATAAAGTGTCGTTGTTAATTGTGAATTACAAAGACAAAATAGACGAGTTACCATACGGAGCTAAACATATCACTCTTTTACCATAGATGCAGTAATATTATTCTATGATTTTACTTACCTAAAGAAACCCCTATGTTAGGTTTATCAGTCAGAGCCGCTATCATATTTAAGAACAAAAGCGATGGAGATACAAAAGAGAGAAATATCTTGATCATACAGTTGGTAATCTCAAATAATCAATAACATTTTCTTAAATGAATCTCATTGTGATTTGGATTTCTTCTAGAAGGGGGAGGGGTTCCGGGATTGAAACAGTTTTCAGGTGCATGGAAGTCTGGCATGGGAGTAGGAGATTGGTCATGTAGTAGTGATGCTAAGTGCCGGACTATGAATAACCTGTTAATGTTTGTCATGTTATCCTTTCTTCGTAGGCTAATCCTAGACTTAATAACCTTGGAACACAGCTGAACAAGGCGTTGTGAAAGGGGGCTCGTCTTTTGACTTATTTAATATTTATTTCAAGATAAATTTGTGGAGAATCGTTTAAACGAAATTTTGCAGCTACTAAATACATTAGTCAAATAATTATTTTACACCTGTTTAAATTATTTAGACTTCGGACACGTCAAGACTTAAAACCTAATCCCCGCATGTTTTCGTGTGATCCTCCTACCTGTATTGACAACAAGAGGGCTCGCACGTTGTGATAGTAGCTTGCTAAGTGATCCTCTGTGGGAGCGTCAAGGAACAGAACATAAGTGACTCCCAGCAGTGGGATCAGCACCAGCAGTGCCTTGGTGGCCTTGCGGTACTGCTGAGTCTCCGCATTAGTGGCTGATCTCAGCTTGGTTATCAGCACCTGTATCAGAAAATTCATACTTATCAGTCTTATCACTATTGGGTAGAAACATTGAGTGACCTATAAATTCATTTGCATGAACTACAACAACATGGTGATATTATTAGTGATATTGTGATGTTCTTGTTTTTAGAGTTTTCCTAGAAACCAATACTTATTAATAGTAAATAAAGTGAACCAGATAGACACACTGTCTGAAAAAAGAAGGCTGTCGCCTAAAGAGCGTTTATCGACTAAATTCTCACGGGTCGCGAAGGATAGGAAGAACAAACCAATCCTTGTTTCTCCTGGTTGGAGCTAAGTTAGTTAAAAATAGGGTGAATTTAATCATGTTGTTTTGCGTGATCTAACTAACAACATAGGCCACAATGTATGTCCAAGCCCAGAAACGCTTATATGCGACAATATCATTGTATCAGTTCAATTCATTTCTTGTTCCTTTACTACATTTAAAATTGTTTTACTGTACATTATACAATTGATGTGTCGAACTATTGACAGTAATGCAACAACCAAACCTAAAAATAAATTAATTGATAAATAATTTCGATCTATGCAATTATGTACTTACAATCGAAATTTACAACTATTCTCAACAGCTGACTTTTACACCAAAGGGACTAAAAAGGCTTTTTGCTCCCTAGGGAGTAAAAATACTATCTTAGACCCACAACGTAGGCATAAAAATTCAGTTTTTCTACAGTATGACGACAATTAAGAAAGGAACTTAGCACGTTATGTGGACTTAATCTCTCAAAATAAGAGAGGAACTGACGATCACATGTACTACAGCTTTACCATACTATGTGTAAACCACACGCATTAGCAGGCTTCAAAATTAAAAATTTTATTAGAAGCCTCCTCGCAGTATTAAATATAAACAATATTAGCAAATAATCTACCAACATGAAATACTCAAACTGTGAAAATATTCGTTAAATATCTCTTTTCCAAATAATGGTAGAATTGCTAGTTCTAAAATTCACTAAGCCGTGTTAGGAAACATACCCACATGATACTACAGAGGAAGAATATGTTTAGGAGGAGGACAGAAAGCATCGGTCCCTGATATATCCAGTCATACACATCAGGCACCAACATGGAACATTGAGGCATCATGGCAGAGATCAAGCGTGCCTGGGAACACCAGAAATCGCAATATATAATAATGTATATTTATTCTTTAGAAAGTAAACAATCAAACTTAGAACTAAAACAATAGAATAGTGTTCATTACAAAAGTACTAAATGTAGAATTTTCCGCTGCGCACCCAAGGCCTATGTGTAAAGCAGAATCAATACACCATGAAGAGAGTTCTTCAGTATTTTGTGAAACCATAACGCTAATGATCAAATTTCAATAAATGTGTGTTTAAAAATGGTAATGTACTAAGATTTATTGATTTTAAGGAAAAGAAAGTTGGAAATTTATAAAACCGCACAACAAGTATAGTTACGAACTAAAAATTAAAATGGGAATAATCGTATCAATGAACTGGCTACTATCGATTGTATTGGGACTTAAAAAAGCTTATTTTTTACTACTAAATAAACTCCAAAAGAAGTTGTACCAAATTGGTATTTAAGTAGGGACGCTAACTGATTGTATTGACCTAATAAGTATGAGGATGATTGAAGTGCCTAATCGATAACGAACTAAGAGTACAGTTGATCAAATATTTTTCTTACATATAAAAAAGACAGTAAACATTAACAGTGGGTGAAGCATTATATGTACATAGTAGTACATAATTTATAATTTTATTTAATGCCCTTTTGATCAAATTTTAAGTTTTACTTAACATTCATGTATTCATACATGTATTCAATTGTGGGTTCAACCTTTAGATGGATTATGTTCTTGTATCCTTCAATTCTACATCGATTTAATATTTTATTGCTATACTCTAAAATATTTTTCATAATTGTGAACTCTAATAAAATATACCGAAGTAAAAGTTCTCTGTGATGTCAATATACCCTGTTTAATAGAGTGAACGGATTTTGAACTAAAAAAAAAAAACATACACATATTTAGAATCCCAGTGCTTTAAAGTGTTTCTTTACACATTTCTTTCACAGCCATTGTCAGTATCTAGCGACTTCTAATGGTTATCCGTGTCATCAAATCAAATCTACTGCCAAACGTGTCGCCCTTTCCTCGCAGGGGCTTAAACGCGTCCAGAGTGGTTTAAACAGATAAGTTAAGTGTGAATAGGCTCTGATTTTCAATAGGCATGTTGTGGTAAGGTTTTAACAACGGCCTTGGTTTAACAGCATATAAAGAACCCTATCAGAGTTTTGACACGCCAAAATTTCATTGTTTACGCACAATATGACGCTTAGTTAATCTATTCAACGGTTATTGCACATTACTGTAGAACAATGTACACTGTGCGATGGAGCCGCCACTACGTCACGTTTATATTGATATACTGCTACAGTATGTGTTACTTTTCAAACAAAGATTGTATAATCTTCAAGAAAACTGGTAATATTGGAATTAATATTTGAGGTCTTTCGCCAGCTATGCTGGCATCATTAGACACATCACAAAACTGAAGGTTATGTTTATGTTTAAAAAATACAATTATAAATTTTAAAGAACGTAACATATAGGTAGTTAAAAATAAAAACTATTCTGTTAAGTACATTTAGCTAAAATTACAAAAATATATGTATAAAAATGAAATATAAAGTAGAATTAACTTATAACTTTGTAAATTTAGAATTTAGTAATGTAACATTTTGAATTGAACCGTTATCATTATTTACCAAATTGTCCATTTTATTTATAAAAAATGATTCCCATGCATTGTTCATTGGATTTTTTTATATTTTTTAGTAATTTAGTATTATTGATTGATATTGTGTGGTCCGTTTCTAAGCAATGTTTTGCTATTGCTGATTTTTCAGGTCTGTTGTGTGTTATGTGAGAAGTGTGTTCTTTGAATCTAGTTACAATATTTCTTTTTGTTTGTCCAACATACTTCATCTCACAACTGTCACACGGAATTTGATAAATGCTAGATTTTGTTGTATTTTCTAATTTACTTTTTGGATTTGCAAGAATGTTTTTAATTTTGTTTTTCGCTTTAAATGAAACCATTAATTCAGCATTTTTCTGAAACGTTTTCTTGACGTCTTTATATTGCTTAGTATAGGTAGTGCTTACCCATTTCTTCTTTACTTTGATTGGTTCCAGTTTTGTTCTTTTCTTTTTCTCATTTCTTTTTAAAGCTCTGGTCAACATATTGTCTACATATTTGGTTTCATATTCATTATACTTAGCCACGTATTTTATGTAGTTAAGCTCTTCAATATAATTTTCTTGGGACAAGAGGCGATAAATCATTGAATTAATCGCTGATATTTATTGTTCTGGAGGGTGATGAGAATCTTGAGTGATAAACCTATTGGTGTCGGTTGGTTTCCTGTAAATATCAAACTCGAGCTTTTCATCACTCCGTAGGATTAGTACATCCAGAAATGAGATCTTCTTATCATTTTCAACCTCATATGTGAATTTTATTGATGGATATAAAGAGTTCAATTTGTTGACAAAGTCATTAAGGTTTTCTTTCCGATCAAAAACTGCAAATATGTCGTCTGAGAATCTTGAGTGATAAACCTATTGGTGTCGGTTGGTTTCCTGTAAATATCAAACTCGAGCTTTTCATCACTCCGTAGGATTAGTACATCCAGAAATGAGATCTTCTTATCATTTTCAACCTCATATGTGAATTTTATTGATGGATATAAAGAGTTCAATTTGTTGACAAAGTCATTAAGGTTTTCTTTCCGATCAAAAACCAATTTATCTCTTAACCATGTTCTTGGAAATATGTCATTTCTTCTTTTGCTTTTTTTCAAAATGGCTCATAAATATATTTGCTATAAAACATCATAGTGGATTTTCCATAGCCTTAACTGTAAACCATTGTCTAACAATGTTCGTAAAAACAAAATTAGAATATCAAAATACAGTAAAACCTTGATAACAGACTCTCGTAGGGATTATAAAATGAGACTAAAAGTGTTATCAAGGTTGACTGCTTATCAAGGTTTGCAATAGCATGTGATTAGGGGTAAAATAATTTCAAGGGGATTTTAAAATTACCCTTGTTATTAAGGGTGACTTGTTATCGAGGGTCTTGTTATCAAGGTTCTACTGTACAAACAATCCAAAACTAAATACCTAAGATAAGCTAAGTGAAATAGTCTCATTAAAATTAATGTTTCTTCTTGGATCTTAGAAGAATTATGGTCGCCATTTCATCGAACAGTATTAACAGTATTAATTAATTTATTTCTGTAAAAAAACAACAGACTTCAAACGCACTAAAAATAATTAAATAATTTTTATAAAGCAAACTTTTTAATACTCAAGGTCATGTATTTCAAGTCACATGAGCAGATACATGTTTATTAATTAAAATATTTAACACTTTTAAGACGGTTATTCACTCTCACTATATTCTTAGGTTTTGTAAAGAATGATTTCTTTTAGTTTATATTCACCCGAATGCTTTGGTTTTCACAATACACCTTTATTTGTCAATATCATACAGCTATTTGCTATATTTTTATAAGTGAGACAATTCTATACTCAAAACGGAATTATACAAAAATCAGGTCAAACGTTGAAATAGCTTTCATATAGTAACTAAAACAAAATGCCTTTTTGCAAAATAATTTATTCAGGCTTCATGGCAAGAAATAGTTTATTAATTAATATGAAGCAGCTGTTACATGAAGAACTGTCTGTAGCTTTATTTAAATGGTTTCATCTAACAGCTTTAGGAATATTAGTATTATTTATTGCTTACTCTGTACAAATAAAAAAAAGATGAATATTTGAGGTTTTCAGCATTTTTCACCGAAACAAATATTAAACTTAAACATAATGTTATATATGGTACCAAAAGGAAACTCTCCTGGTTATTTTGGTGGCGGAATCACGTTGATCGGTAAAAAAATCACAGAGACATTTACAAACATCCATAGAGAAAAAACAAATTGAGAACCTTCTCATTTCGTTGTGAGTGGCAAGTCGGTTATTAAAACAGTTTTTCAGCTATAAAACCTAACGGAAAATTTAAAACCTTGTTAAAAGTACTTATTTGGAACATAATTAAACATAATTAAGTCTGCATATGGTTTTGGAAACAAAATTTTGTTTATTTGTATCCAATGAGACGAATCGAAAATGTTTGTTTCCAAAACTATGTGTAGACTTACAATGTTTCATCTTTGTGACCTAATGTAGTGATATCCAAGTTTTATAAACCTAAAATAAAGCAATTTAATATTTGTTTGTTATCAACTAAATTTTAACTCCTGCAAAACTATATAAAAGACAATCCTCTAGGCATCTAAAACTTTAATACAGATTTACAATGAATAATACTTACCAAATTGTACACTTATAATTTAAAAATAATTGCTACGAACTATTTTAAAAACTATAATGAGACTTGCTCTACGCCTGTGAAAAATTGTGTAAAAAGACTTACTTTGAAGATTCCAATTGATTATTTTTAAATGTCAATGTTGAGTAAAAACTCCAAATTGTTTACAGGTAATATTTTTGGGAACTATTTGTTACCTCCAATGGGCCTTCAGTAGGCGCGTCGTTGGTGAACACACTCTTGATAATGATCCAGGCGATCACTACGATCAAAGGAATTCCTGGAACAAATGTAAATATGGAACAATTTTACAACTCATAAGAATAGTGAAACACTTTTGAGCAATTTCCTTCAATGGGATAGAAAGGACATTAAATTAAAAGTTGGATTATCACGCTAACAATTTAAACAGTAATTAAGTAGAAATGCATTTAGTATTGTGTATTAATTAGTACTACTGAAGTAGTAATGTATTGGGCCTTCGACTTGCTTCGACAGAGTGTGTTGCCTTCAATTATTGTTGTTTTATATAAAAAAACCGTAACAAAGCATATTTACTTTAATTTAATTCAACTTAATTTAAATTTTAGTTTATTTTGCATGAAATGAATAAACTAGTATAGTATAATAGGCTAAGAGAAGATTACAGTTTCAAAAATAGGTGCTAGGGATAAATTAATTGGAGTTTATCTAAAGTCTATTTTTGTATAGGCGCAAAACTCTATAGCAACATCTTCAAGGGAAGAAATATAGCCATATATGAACTATTTAATCAACTATTAATATGAAACAACACGTAAATACGCTCAATACATTAAACCTGTACACAAAGCGAATTTAAATTTACATTGTTAGATTTTTAGTAGAATTTTCTTAAGCTAGTCACATTCATTTTCTATTTACATAACATTCGGTTTAACGAGTTCTTAGGTTTGTTGCTACAGATATTCCGATCATGCTGGTTCGTGAACTCGTACTACATAATTGTTTATTTACACGTCTGTACCAGATTTAATCTAAATCGACCTATTTTCACTCGAGTCCAGATTGCTAACGGATTAATGTATTATTTCTGTATTCAAATATATGTATATCTATATTTTGATTTTGAAAGGATGATATTTTTGGCTTCAGGGACATCAAAACAAAAGAGAAAATCGGTACCTGGTCTAGGGGTTACCATGAGAGTTGCGGTAAACGCTTTTATGGCAAATTTGCTAAAAAGGACGACTTTTTAAAACTACAGCAAAAATATTAATGACAAAATTAAAAATTAAAATCGTTGGTAAAAGTTAATTGGACTTACAATCAATGAAAACAATTCTTCAAATTAAGAGTTAAGATTTATGCTATGGCATAATAAATAGTAATAAAATCCAATAAAATTTGTTGCTGACTGATTATAAAACATATTTGACTATCAGTTAATGACATCGATATATGACTACTCGGTAGTAGTTATATATCGATGGTTAATGATGTTATCCAACAAAAGGTCGACATTGGATGGTAATAACAACAACATGGATTGTACGGTTTCCCACAAAAAAACATAGTTAACATCCACATAATAAACCAAAAATAAAATAAAATAAATCAAGGTGTATTTAAGATAAAATATTTTAACACCTGAAAAAGTCTTCAACTAAATATCCTGATGTTAAAAATTTCATAAAATAGAAGAGAAAACCATTTATTGGTTCAATTTATAAACAGTCACAACAACTCATTTTCTCACTAAATATGCAACAAAGTAACTAAATATAACAGTGCTGATAGACAGCCAAATGTCATCACTTGATTATTACATCCTAAGTCATTCCTCTAACCACTTAATCACGTTATCCTTTATAAGGTTCGTAAATGACTTATTTTAGTTCCGTGTTAGATATAAGATGACGTTTATACTTCCTTAACTAAAGCAATAGCAAATTCCTAAAACAATGAGCTTGAACACTAGCATGGCGGGCTTTATGGTGTTAGTTTATAGCTGCATATCCTAGGTTTATAATGTGTGTCCTCAATGGCCAGGCATTATATCTTGGGGAAGCTAACGAGCAAGTATTAGAAAATGTCTAACATTTCATGGCACGTGGTTTGTTCATTTTCGTCGTGTGAATGTTTTTTGCATTTGGTTTTCCTTGTACGAAATTTAATCTTTGATTGTATCCACGATATATACAGTTAACCACAAAGCATAATTCCGGTCGCTTTTTAATGCTTTGGCAAGTTAAATAAATAAACTTTTGTGAGCTTAGGCACCGACGGAATATAAAATATGAAATGATGAAATGTTGTTTACTCATACAGGTAAGGTTAGGGCCGCCATACGCCCTTTCTTGACATGTATAGAAACTGAGTTCCATGCTGTAAAATACCGTAATTCTTTGCGTTCATACTATTAAAAAAAAATTATAAAAACAAACATAAAAGGACAGTTTTATAAAACATATAGCTTACCTTTTTCCTCATCAAACTAAAAAATATTTTTTTTAACAACTTCAATGGCAGACTATATGCAGTGATTATTTCAATACATTCATTTAAAGCTCTTGTTATCCAGGGGATGGATTATAAATATTTTTACATAAAGACCTTCCCCTGGCTCTAAGGAACACAACAAAAAAAAGAATCATCCAATTCAGTGCACTCGTTCTCGAGTTATGGAATATCATCAAAAAAGGGATTCGGTTTTTTTATGGATTTAAATAGAATTAGTATAACGCGTACTTAGGTTTGCTGCAACAGGGAGGGTAACTACACGGCGCTCCCAGCGGTGCACGCCAAACCCTATGCTAATCGCAGCACGGCTGACGGTCTAAATTTAATTCTTTTTGTCTATGATTATACGCAATCATCATTTTGTACTGTATAAAGGTTGCTAATTAAAACGAACACATCTTTTGCTACTAAGAGTGTATTTTTATACGATTTTTACACGTAACATTACTATTTTGTAAATAGTAAAATACCAAAACCTGTTTATGGTATCTCAAAAACTAGACTGAGGCCTAATATGTATGAAAAACAAACTGAACAAAAAACACCTTTCTAAATGCACTAGTATCTTGCAGCAAAGTTAGAAGCAGGGTCATCTTTTAGGGCCAAGACTGTTGTCTTAAAGCAGTAAACTTTCAAGGTGCTGTAAAGACTGCGGTTGAAGCTTTATACCTGGGACTTTGTCAGGATCAAGTCATTGTCTTAGATGGAAGAGGGGCAACTTTATACGTCAGCATACAAAATGGCGACTTAAATCACCCTTGAGAAATCTTAGGCTAAAAAATTGCAGTTATATATACACATATATATTATATAATAATAATATATTCTGTTACTGTCTCCGATAATGCTTGTTTATCATTGTGAATGGTTGAAATTGATTGTGTTTATATTTAACGTCTGGAAAAAGTTTGTAGTGTATTGGTGAAAAATGATCGATTATTGTTGAAAGACGTATATTATAATCATCCATTCAATTGCACAAACATTTCAATACTAATCGAGAGGTTATTAAAAAGCGGCATCAGTACATCCACTAGACATTTTTATTTCAACACTACATACTACAAACTACATAGGCTAAATAAAGTTTTGCAGATTCTTTTAGTTTTATTTGCCATTTGCAAGTACAAGCAACACGGAACGTTCGTTACATTAGTGACTTCCTGAAGCTATAACAGGTACAACAGTCACGATGTTCCGTAGTTACTTTGTAACAGTTCCCGGTCATTAAGTGACGTCATGAATCGTCTTTACTGCTCCGAGTTTTACGTCAAACCAGATGGGCAAAGTTGAAAGATAGACATCCATTAAATCAGAGTTTGTTGCCGTATTTTTATGTCGTAAATGAGTAGGTTTGAAGATCATAGCATAACTTTTTCCTAAGGATTAAAATAAAAATTCAAAATATCATACAGATTGGCCTTACGATCTTTTAAATTGATAAAGGCTTAAGTTACCTGTGTACCTGTGTAAAGGCTTAAGGTACCTGTGTTACACTTATTTTGCGATCTGTTGTTTTCGCCTCTTAACTAAATCTTTTTCCCCGCTTAGTTTTTAATACCATGATAATTTATATGATTAAATATCAGGCCTGACTCCATATATCTTATTTATCATTGGTGACGAAGATGCAAATTGATACAATTTATTTAGCTTTCAATTTAGCTTGATAAGCATTTGATTTACATGAGGAATAGATGATTGACATTAACATTCTCTGTCATGTGCTAAGCACAATTAGGTTTTTTACTCTGAAATGGCTACAACTTTGAAATTCTGATGAAACCTAACTATTGTTATCCATATTCAAAGTTACTCCATCAATATACTACCTTCATTCATAAAATAATTCATCAAAACCACCTTTCATATAATTTTAAATTAAAAATTAAATATCTTACCCCATCCAATGCAAGCATACGATCTCAACTTCAGATTCTGTCTTGCAAAAGTTTTAACTACCAACATGTACAAATACAGCCCTGAAAGCAAAAGAGGTGATTAACTTTAAGGTTGAATTTTGTTCATAACTGTAACGGTGTACTGAACAGTCTTTATAACTTTTAAAGCAGAAACCTCGTTAAATTAAATATATGACCTAGGGCCATTAACAGTGTAGTAACTCTAAAGTAAACTTCTAGCTTGAGTTTAATTAAAGTGTATTTTAGAGACTATAAACGTTTACTGCAGCGTGGATTGCTTTATATTGGAGACTGCACAATAACCCATGTAGCTTGAGATTGCGGTCCATCTTGTATTCAATCAAAGATTTCCACTGGGAATTTAAAAAATCCAAAGCGTCGTTCAAAACTTAGTTTTGAATTTACGTAATTGGAAATTTACGCAATGAATAATATCTTAAATACTATGTAGACCAGTTGAAGTAAGTTTTTCCTGGAAGAGATCAATGTCGCCTGGAATCTTTAAGTATGACCTTGAATTAATGTTCTTAGTTCGATTTCAATGAATAAATGAAAACTTACCTTCAACAAACATCCAGAAGAAGTTTGTTAAATACAGATAGTGAAGTATTATGTTCAGTGTGAGGATCGTTACCGTGCATTCCTGGCCTAGCGTGCCTTCGTTGGTCTGGTACATCTACACAAACAAATATCGGTTCAAATGATATGTATAGAACTTTGACAGCTACAATATCTAAACGCTAGCTGTGGTACTTAAAGGTAGCCACAACTCGTAGATAAATAAATTTAAAAGCCATTTGTTGTTATATAAGGACATAATTGATTTACATCAAGCAAATATATTGCTATCTTATATATTAATTAATTGTTTTACCAGAAAATTCATCTTTATAAAAATCAAATAATAATTTATCCTTTAAACAATTGGTTGTCTTCTGGCATTAAATAAATCCCTAATAACACTTAACTAAGTTAAACTAAACTAAGCTAAACTAAGCTGGTCAGTATTGCAGTAATAGAAGCAGGGCTGCCAACTTATGAGCTTGTCCCTAAACAGTACTCTAAACTTGTTACTTGGGTTGCATTAAAACAACATTTAATTTCCTAAAACAAATACCCTTATTGGTGCTAATACGGATAGAAAGACCACCTTTTTGCAAATATGTAAAGTACAGTGTAAATAAATCAAAGCTAGAAGTCATATTTGATTTTGTACGTAAAATAACAAAGAAACTTTTATTAATGAGCGTTAGAGTTACTTGATATCTAACGCGCTGAAACAAACTTATACCATGGGTTTTTATAGCATCCAAAGTCATTGGTATGATAATTATACAAATTATGTGAAAGAGGAGTGTGGGGTGGATGTGATATCTGGTAGCTTAGTTATTAATAAGGACCTGCTGAATCATTTATTGAGCTTAACCCATTACTGAACGCCAATATAATTTTGACCTGTTTCCCAAAATCAAATAACAACAGTTATTGGTAATTGCTTTTCATTTTGAGCGAACATAATTAACAGTTCATCATAAACATGACTTTCAACTGTCCGTTTGGATTAGATAATTTATTTCGCAACGCATATTTTTGATGATTTCAAATATCAACTACACTAAGAAAAAAAAGTTATTTTATGAATTCAATGTAGGAACTCACAAAGTTCCCGAATATCTGAATCCAAAAGGTGAAGATAAAAGCTAGTCTAATTGAGTTGGAGTTTACTAAGTAGGCCTATGTATAGTGTGGCAAATAACAAAAATTTAATCAATAATCGGCCCATTTACTCAGTAGCAATAACTATACATTATACAGCCTCACCACTGTATCTGCCCTTACTCTCACCTGTATGGGGTGAGTAAGCATCCATACGGTGTCTGACAGCATGTAAGTCCCCATCAAGTTAGTGTGGATAGTGTTCCTCAGGCACCTCAGATCTCTGCAATATCAAGAGGAAAACTGTTACTTAATCAGTTCAATTATTTGCATAAAAGAACAAGTATAAAATATATTTCACTTAATTATATTAGGAATGTGTATTTCCAGTTTTATTTGATTTTTTGGGGATGACACCTATTTCCTAAACATTTTATTTCTATTTTGTAGAATACCAATAGCTTTGCCAAGGTAAACATGTAGTAGGTAGCATGTTCCCCCATTCTTTGAGCCTACCGTTAAAAATACAACGTAATGCACGGTAGTTTTGTTTGTTTGGTCTTGTGTTTGAACAACATAAGAAGTGATTATAGTATTTATTATTTTCCAGTATTTTATTTTGGTAAATGGCTAGGTAGGCGCCTGCTTCCATCACTATGGTGGTTTATTTTGATAAATAATATTTGTCATCACTCGCACCAACTATAATAAATCAAATAAACAAAATTTTGTTTTCGTTTTTGTTTTTGTACTACAGCACCAGCTAGTTTTTTATATTTCTTTTTCGGTCAATTCAATCAGCAATCTTTGGGTATGTTCAATCATCATGTGATTTCTCTTTGTGGCCTTGGAGGTAGAGAAATACTTTTTCACCACACTATGATGTTTTTGGCTGTATTACATACGTTAATTGGTGGCTGAAAGTTACGTTTTGCTGGCCATGCCAGCTGTCGCCAATTTGGGGACCGAGCAGGTTTTTACAGGCCGGGGCCGCAAAATCAGCTGTCCGCTTACTTACTTAGAATATGAATGCGTTTTAAATACACAATAAAAATCCATAGCATTGCAATATAGAATTGTATTATTGTCACCGTTGCCTAGCAACTATTTATTTATATTTTTGCTGATTCCTCAAATTATTTCTTAACCTTAAAGTTGTAGTTGTGTTTACGATCAGTGTGCATTATTATAGTGGTGAATAGTGGTAATAGGGTATAGTGTGGTGAAAAATAGCGTTCGTACCACGGACCGAAATGGTTTTGCAGCTCTCGATCGATTTAAGTTCTCGACTTCGTCTCGAACTTAAAAACTATCTCGAGCCGGCAAAACCTCATTTTCGGCCCTTGGTACGAAATATACTATTTCATCACTCCTCACCGAAATTAACTATTTTCGATAACAGCTGACATCAATGAAAGTAGCCGTTTCTCAAGCTCTAATTTAGGGCGAGGGAAAATTGATCAGCTGATTTTCCCTCGCTCTAAATTTACTTTCCCTCGCTCTCAATTAGTTTTCCATTTATTCACTACGCGCGCTAGTGTTTTGTTACGGTTTAATTTAATGATTCAAATCAGCTATATATATTGTTCAAAGTCGTTTTAATCTTTTATTTTGATGTTTGAAGTATTGAGAAATATACGAAGGTTTTCTTTAGAATATTTTATTTTATTTTATGTTTTAAAAATCAAACAAAAATGAACATAGGTTTACTTTTAGAAAATTTTATTTTATTTTTATGTTTCAACAAATTGTTTGATAGATAATTATTGTAATATTACTGATGAGGTCTGCTATTCTATGTTTGTGTATTTTTGCGTCGTGATGAAAAGTACCGTTCATAACTCGTACCGAAAGTTATCATCCGGCACTTGCTCCATTATTCCCGTCCTCGGCTTCGCCTCTTACGTGAAAATACCCTTGAAAAAGAACCCTTCTTTACGCTGATGACACGACATTTGTTAACACTTCCAGTAACTTGCTGCATTTAAGTAATTTGGTAAATAACTCTATAGAAGAAGCTTCATCTTGGTTTAGAGCTAATGGCTATCTCTTAAATAAAAATAAAACTGAAAATATAGTATTCTCTTTGAGGCCTTATGACCATGAATCTTTAGCTATAGAAACAGCTGTCAGTACCAAGTTTTTAGGTGTATGTGTTGACCAACAGCTTACTTGGAATACTCATATTGATTGTGTTACTACTAGACTTTCTAGAGTTGTTTTCTTGTTGGGGCGTTTGAAATACTGTGTAACTCCAGAATATATCCGGATGGCTTATTTTGCTTTTTTTCAATCAATAATTAAGTACTGCTTGCTTGTCTGGGGCAATTGTTCAAGAATTGAAGAAGTATTAATATTACAAAAAAAAGCTGTTAGAATTATTGATGGTTCAGCTGATCTTGAACATTGTAGGCCTATTTTTATTAAATTAAAGATTTTTACTGTTATTAACCTTTATATTTTAGAACTTGTTATTTATTCTTTAAAAAAACTACCAGTCATGGTCCTGAATGAAGATGTACATCCCTACAATACTCGTGGTAGACATCAAATAAGTTACCAGCACCTCCGTTTGAGCAAATCTTTAAATAGCCATGTTGTTATGTGTAAGAAAGCTTATAATAAGGTAGTTATTAATGTAAATAAGTATCCACAAAAAATATTTAAAAAAAAATTCAGTGACTGGCTCTTAAGAAATCCTTTTTACAGTATTGAAGAGTTCCTAGAACAACCTGTGATAAGTCTGTAACTTTGTATCCAAATCTGTTAATTATTTCTATATAGTCTATTTTTGTTTTCTTCAACTTTGTTAATTGTTCATTTGTTAAATTGTTTTTAGTCTATTGTGATTGTTAACCCTGTAGTTAAAAGGAATTTGTACAACATAGACTCATACCCAAGTTACCTCTGATTATTTAGACAATGAACATTGAAATTTTATGTTCTGCTCCACTGACAATGTCAATGCATGTAAATGTCCATGATAATAAATGATTTGATTTGATTTGATTTGATTTGATTTGAATAGCTCTCACGTACTCGGCTTCGCCTCGCACGTGAAATTGGTGTTCCCTGTGTTCGGCTTCGCCTTACACAAAAAGCCGGAAAATGCCACTTTCGGTCCTAGTAATGAAATATACTATTTCCAAGTTCTGCTTTAAAACTTTACGCATCCACGGACGGATTTTGTGTTGGCAAGGACCCATCTAGCTTTGTGTCAAATTGCATCTCACGTGGTTCAGCAGGTTGCGTTCACACGGAACAGAAAACACCTCTATTATAGATTATCAATTTTTACATAAGTTTTTGTAGACACCTAGCTTGTCACTTAGGAAACTTGAAACTTAGGAATATCAATTGAATGAACCCGTAGACTAATAACATTTGCTTAGAACAACGTAATGTTAAACAAACTCTGACACCTATGTAGGTACATAAAGTTTTGTGTATACCATACATAACCAACCATCGCTAAATCACAATTAGTTCAAATTTACAACATTAATTTGTACATCAGTTAACAAATGTATAAACATGGTTCTGTAACAAAGAGGCGAATAAATGAAATAGAAGTAGAAATTTGAGTTCGGCAGTAACACGTAGAACGTCCATCTACAGAACCAGCAAACAAATATGCAATTAAAACTAACTACTATTACGGAACTAACTATTGTAATTGCAGTATCCCACTTTATGGTTCCTATGTTACTCTACAATTTTCAAGTAATAACTGACCAAACCCCCTGGTTTAATTTGAACGTTATTAAAAAAAAATTTAATTCAAAGTGGTTAACTAGATTATCTTTTAACTTATACTGTCTGTGAGTTTTACTTTTTTTATTCAATAACAAGCATGATCGGCAATAGTATACATTAGATACTATTGCTTTAATATCGGGTTTTACTAAAAGGAAAAAATCATTCAACATTTAATGCAAGAAAAGTATTTAGTCAAGACCCAATATACTTTGTTATAATTGTTCAACAGAATGAGTAGTTTACTTACAGGACCCAAAGTCAAAGACAGAACTCACTTGAAGTAGACGAAGACAGTGACTGCCAGTAGAAGTGCGACTAGAGAGACTGTGTACCCGGTAATGTAGAGAATTGTGGTGATCTCCACCGGAGACAGCAGCTTGGGCAGAGTGGACTCTACCCCAGAGACGGGCGAGCACGAGGAGAAGTCCGAGTACTCATCCCAGGACCCGTTACTGTGACACCATCTGGTAGCGTTCTCTGTAACACGGAAGTAGCTGTTGCTCATACAGTTTATAATCATCTCGTCAACGACTAGTTTTATGTGCACTAGAAGTTACATTGTACTGCCTGTGGAGAATTATCTAAAAGATTTTAAAAGCTGGAGTACGTTTCAGCATTTTACGAAACGCTCGTAGCGTCCTAGGCTGTAGTAGAGAATATGGCATAAAACATTCGCCCATGGTATTAACAATGGATAGATCAGTCTATCTGATACTGTTGCTTAACTCCCAAAATGTATTAGAAGTTCACAACATATAAAACCAATAGAGTTAGGTTTAAGAAGAGTTATAAGTAATTACAGTACATTAGTACGTGAAGAAACCACTGAGGCTGCTCTAAGGCACATGATATTAAATACCCCCCCCCCCCGTTACATTCAATATCCTTAGGGGACAAAAAAATCACTTCAAGCACAAACACAAACTTGTTTTATGAAATGTCTTCAAACAGCTGCCATGCTTGAAACTCTTAATGTTATCAAACTCATTGTATCTACTTTGTAACTCTGTGTACTCGAGAACAAACTCACTGGAGATGTCGTACTTGATCCCGTTGAGCTCTGGGAAGCATGGTATGACGGCTGATGAGTTGACCTGAGTGGGAGGCCAGCAGAGTACATAGTCCCAGGCCCGGGGACACTCCAGCTGAGGAACTGATGACAACTGACTCTCCTGGTGGTACAACATCACACACTCCAACTCCTGGGGACAAAAGTACCCAATAATAAGAAATCATTATTTATATATATAACTTATGGAGAAATCGACCTAAACTAGTAGAAGAGTGCGGGGCTTCGGTGCCTAAGACTCTAGATTCATATCCAGGAAAACAGTAATCTCAGGTAACAGTCATAATTGTTATTTTTTACCATCCAAAACAGCTAATTCAATTTTGCAGAAATAAGCTGACAATTTTGACTATAAATAGAACTTAATTTTATTTCCATTGTCAAGTTGTTGCCAATTTTATGTTTAAATAAATTTGGGTTAATTAACCCACCAAAAGGTTGTGCTAATGTCCATTGCTGATTCCTGTAGTAGCCTATGCACTATTTATTATGAAAGCCAAACTACAGATCAACTTAAAGTAAACCATTGCATCTTTTAAATCATGAAATTCATAATACTATAAGAGAAAATATATAATTTACACAGTGACTCGCTCTGAAAACTCACTAAGTATCGTCCAGCTATAATCCTTCCACAATAAAAATGGACATCTTACTAACTGAGAATATTTAAGTAACTAAAGTAGTCATTTACTTGAATTTCTACGCATTTGCTACCTAATGTTAAAGAAGATACTTTATATCAATAATTCATCGGTAACGGAGTAAACAAGTTTCCCACAGAAAAGTTCAGCACACATTTGTTAGTTACCTCGGGGACAAGAAACTTTTACACTTTATAACATTTGCGGTCGTCTCTAGCAAGACGTGATCACTACTGAAGTAGCTTTGCTCAGGGAATAGTTACCAGATGTCTGCTTCTGTTGTAGAAATATTAGTTTACGTATTTCTAACAATAATACCACTATTGCATTATAGCAAGTTGGACACTACTTTACTAAATCAATACCCTCTTTAGTAAATCAATTCCCTTTTCCCTTTTCAAATCACCTTTTAGCATGCTCATTGTTTAAAGATTTTGTTTGATAATGGCAATTGCATGTTATCCATTACGATTAGTAAATACTAAATGTTGACGTCGTTTAGGGATCTGAGAGTACTGATATCTTAACGAGATTAGGACGGTGTTTCCAGGGGACGGATTCCAGGTTCCGAAACCGTGATGATAAAAATATATGGAATAATCTCTAAAACGATTGTTTTACCATCCTTACTAACGGTTAATTTTAGATAGAATCGCATACATTTTAAGGAATGGAGTTCAACATGAAATTCTTAACATTGATAGTTATATCGGTCCGAGGCTATCTACAAAACAAACAAATGTAAAGAAAGACTGAAACATCACAAAAACTCGCAAATTTAGTTAATTGAGTTTGAGAAGTCATTTTACAACATTACTAAAAAGTAAACATGATATTTTATATATCTGAACATAATGTTTAAAATTTTAAGAAAAAACCTTACTCACATTGTCGTAGTGCTAACATCGGCACAAAACATCAATGGCTACAAACATAAAATACCCCCGCCGCAGCAAACCTGCCGACTAAGCAAATTTCCATTTGTCTGAATTGATTTTCAGTTAAATATATTTTAATAACATTAGGTTTAACGAGTACCTAGGTTTGCTGCTACAAGGAAACTAATAAATTGTGTTTTTGAGTAAAATATTGATAGCTTAGTACAAAATAAATAAATTTGCCAAGTTTGATCAAAATATATTCATAAACAAGCAAACTACAACATTTGTCAATATTCTCCATAAGAATAACATGGGAATTTTAAATTTTCAATTTTTTTAATTTTCTCCGTTACTAATAATCGAACAAAAATACTTTTATATACTAAATTATTTGTTTTTTTAAGCTCTTAAAAAAGGTCTAAAGAGAAATTGGGAAATTTTGTGTTTTGAGGGTCAAAAGTGAGAAAAACCAATTTTTACCCCATAAAACCCCCCGTAAAGCCCAGTTCCCATGGTCCGATCGTGCTGGTTCGCGAACTCATTCAAGTTTATCCCGCTTTACACCTTTAAACCAAATTTCATCAAAATCTGACAAAAATTACTCAAGTTATCGCGTTCACGGACGTATATATATATATATATATATATATTATATAAGTCTATATATATATATATATATACATATATAACAATTTGAACGAATAGTGTTTTTGGCCTCTGGGGACATCAAAATGAAAAAGTAAATCGGTCCCGGGTCTAGGTCTTACCGTGCCACCTACGGTAATAGCTACTTCCCTATAGGGAAATTCGCTAAAAGCAGATTTTTTATGAACTAGCCGGGACTGAACTCCTCAACACTTCCAACAAAGACGCCCGTGGCTCCAACCACATGACTAACAATAAATTCAATTAGTTCATATGCATTTACAGCCACTTATAATCTTCAACAAACTTGTATAATTACTGTACAAATAGAACTCATATTAATTTGCAAGGAACCTATCTCTTCATTAGAACAGATGGTTTTCTTGCAAATTAATTTGAGTTATTAGTTGTTAAGAGTTATTAATATGAGTTATTAATTTGCCCATCATTAAATGGACGATGTACCTATTGAAATTGGTAATAGGTGATAGATGACTTAGGTCACCACATTTTCCAGAGTATTTTTTTCTTGAGTTATTTATACATGAGTACGTACGTGCAGTGTTTATTTAATCTCAAAAGATTTTTCCTATAAACACACTTATATTTGTTTTCAAATATTTTCATAACTAAAAATACCGTTTTGGGAGTATACCATATATTTCAACCCATTGTACTCCTATATCCATGTTTTGAAACTATTAAGATTCTAAATGTGGAATGAAGGAAAACGCAAATAAGCAAGAAGCCTAGGTTCTCACTCATCATTGTTTATAGAATTTACGTCTGCTAGGAACGGTGGATAAGCAATAGGATTTCTAATAGGATACCCCTACTCTTAGTGTTGTTGTCTATTCCTGAATGTTACTTAAACTTTTTAATTTCAGCGCTTTATACATTAATGTTACTTCAATGGTTAAAATAAAGTTGTTTATAATTAAAGCACATTTATATAAAAAAGTGTTGAATGCTCAGAAAAGGTAATTTTAACACGTGTTCGGTTCAGTAACCACTTGGAGTAAAATTGTGTTTGCTCACCCTAAACGTCCTTTGGCCTGTATGTTAAATTATTGTTTATTAGTCACTAGTGAACATTTTAGGTATAAATAGTTTGTCTCGTAAGTAAGTATATAAACTTTAGAAATACAGTAGGTTTAACGTATGAAAATAACATAGAAAAACAATCGCTTCAGTGGGACGTAGTATACAGATTTAATTATTAAAGCCATTCATAAACCGTTCATAAAGCCATTCATTATACCTTGGCACGTATATTTAGCTGTATTAAACAATCAAAATTTCCCTTTACGAAATCATAGCCATAAAATTCACATAACTGTGTAGGCCCGTTTACCAAACAATGTCTCACCTGAGGTGGAAGGAACTCATAGGTCCAAAGCTCATAAATGGAGACAGGTAAAGCTGAATTATGCAGTAAAACTTTGACGATCCCCCTAATATATCCTAAATTAACTGTCATACCTAATAAAGTACCATATGTCTTACATTCAGAGTTTCTAGGTTTGCATAGACAAATAAAATAAAATAAAACATTTAACAGAAGAAAAAATATTTAAATGTACTGTTTTGTGTCAAACGTAATTCTTTATGTATACCAATACGATGGAGTTTAAAATTTTTGTTTCAGGTAGTTATCATATAAATAAAAAACTAAGTTTTGACGTAGTGGTTTTGGTTCATAACCTTGTTTTTCTGGAATTGTGTTTAACAGTGTTGAAGCACTAAGTACGGTTTATTTTCTATGGATGTAGTTATCCGTTTTGGAAAAATTAAACTCTCGACCATACAAAATCTTTTCACTTTTTTTCTCTACCATTTGCTATTTTCTCAACTAGCTTTTTTGTTGTTTTATCCCTCTTGCTTCTTTTTATTACAAATGATTTGCTCTTTTATAGTTTCACTAAAGGTATAGATCTTCAAAGACAAAAAGAATACAAAGTTAAGTTTACCGTACATTTAGAATAAAATAAGGAGATAAAACCAATTATGTTCTTTTATATATTTACAACGTGCTACGTGCTACAAACAGTTTTAAAATGAAGAGGAGAATTTTGACAAAGTCGCGTAGTCTTCAAAGTATTCTTCTGTAGATTCCAACACCAAGGGAGCCATGTAGTCTGGGAAGCTTCCCTAGGGTGCGGGAACCCACTGTGTGCCGATACCATGTATGTACTTACTTGAGCTTTTCTTCTTTTATTCATTTATTCAACGGACCTCATTCATTCACACGTTTGAATTTTCTTGTGGTTGAATGTAATGGCTAATGGAAGTAATAAATAGAAAGGTTCTTTATTTTCATTTATTTGTTTGTATAATATTTTTTTAACATTTTATATTATGATCTGTATTTATTTTGGAATTTAATTTGAAAACAGTCTTTAATTTATCAAAAAAGTATCAATAAGTAATAAAAATATTGTAGGACCTATATAATAAAATACTTAGTTAAGGTGGTCCAAAAATATAATAAACTTGTTCCTTGAACTACATTCATATTTTCCTACGTCTAGCTATGCTTAAGATCTTTAGATATTGTATATTGTGTCATGTAAAAGCTATTTTATTTGGTAAAAAAAATAACTTCATAGGTTTTTTTTCGAAGAGTTTGGAGTTAAATCTAATCTTTTTACATACAAATGTAAACAGGCGAAAACCCTATTTCAAATTTATTGTTCATAATGTCTTCTTATTTACGATAAAAATATCTTTAACAAAAATACATTGTAAATTACTAATAAAAAAGTGTATTTTCTTCATTACTTTTTATGAGGTTTTAAAACCTTTCTGAGAGGGTTAAACTATAAATCCATTTTAAAATAAATTGTTAAATAGATTTTTATTCCATCTGGAAACTGTACCGTGTAGTCTGACGTTGCAGGAACGCAAACTGGTGCTAAAATAAAATTCTATTACCTCTAAACGACTACGCAAAGTTTTAACAG